CATCCTCCCCCAGATTCCTCATCCTGCGTCAGATTCCTCATCCTCCCCCAGATTCCTCATCCTGCGTCAGATTCCTCATCCTCCCCCAGATTCCTCATCCTCCCCCAGATTCCACATCCTGCGTCAGATTCCACATCCTCCCCCAGATTCCACATCCTGCGTCAGATTCCTCATCCTCCCCCAGATTCCTCATCCTCCCCCAGATTCCACATCCTGCGTCAGATTCCACATCCTCCCCCAGATTCTCAGAATCTGAGTTCTTTAGGCGGAGAACCGGACCCCACAATGAGGAGGAAGTTCAGCCATTTTGTTGTGGTGTGGAAGCAGAGACGTCTGGTCTAGGTGACTAGAACTCAGAAAGCCTCCTCAGTGGGGTCTGATTGGCTGACGGTCATCGTCATGGCGACCCATAAAAACTGGTCCCTCCTAATGGTTTCCCTCTGGCAGAGGCAGCTGGGCAGCAGATGTTTCCATGTGGATCGGTGGAACGACGCCCCCTGCTGGTCCTCAGGGAGGCCGATAGGACGGACAGGAAAGGTTCCAACATTGTGTGGACTTTGATTAGGCCACTCCGTAGTTCCAGGTCCTCCTGAACAGTTAGAGCTCAGGAGGAGCAGCATAGATCAGGTTGAATCTGAAAACGTTGATCTATGATCAAAGTTTAATCTGATGAATCTGAACTGCAGGTAGAAACTAGTTAAACATCATTTTTAAAATGACATGACCACAGCGCCCCCTGTCTGCTGCTGCAGGTACGCCTCCATCCCTCTGTACCAGGTGCCCCTGGTGGCCCCCTGGCAGTGTAACCTGGGGGCCGCCCTGCTGTGGCCCCTGCAGCTCTACTGGTTCACTCTGATCTGCAGAGGAGCTCTGAGGCAGTCCAAACGGTACCAGAACCCAGCAGAACCGGCAGACCGCAGCTCCAGGAAGCAGCCAGGTGGACGCTGAAGAAGGACCAGGAGCCGGTGGACGGTTCTCTGGAGGTTCTTCATTTTCAGAAGTGGAGCCTCGTGGCTGAAGATAAACCTGAACAGAATAATCTGCTGCATCCAAACTGCTGATCAGCAGAACCAGAACCACAGGGAGGATGGAGAGGAGCTCCAAACATCTGATAGACTTTATGTACGGGACTCAGTCTGCTAGAATCATTTGGGTTCTTGGATCAACCAATCACAGCTCGTAGAAGGCAGCGTTGCCCCTAGCAACAGGGCGACCCTCAGCCCTCTGAAGATAAAAGTCCAGTCAGGAAGGTTTGGTCTGAGTCTGGAGGTCCTGAGGTCCCAACTGGATCCGAACCCTGCTGGAGGTCTGAGGGACGCAGTGTCGCCCCCTGCAGGCAGACCTTAAACCTTCTCAATAAAACTGATCTCCAGCTACTGTTTCTGTTTCATTTATTTCCCTCTGCTGATGGACAAACATCTGGACGCGGGTCAGATCCTCCTGACCCTCAGGTGCTGGACCTCCAGCAGCATTGTCTCTGTTTCAGTTGGTTCTGATTGTTCTGGATCTGGTTCCTCCAGAGGAACCCTGCCTCCTCCTTCATCTTCTCTGAGTCTTTGTGAGATTTTCGTCCAGAACCTTTTGCCACCCTGAGCAACAGCATAGTCCACAACAAGCTAGTTTATTTCTGTTTTTCAGTTTTTAGAACACAACATTCAATTCTATTCAGTTTATTTCTATATCTTTAATTCACATCATGTCATCTCAGGTCACTTTATAGAAACAATTCAACCAGATCATCCAGTAAGATTGGCTCAAAGTTTTCTATCTAAGGAAAACCAGCTGATTGCATCGACTCATTTGCTCTGTTCAAAATCCTGGGCTGCGTCCTTAGAAGGCCAGATTCGAAGGCCGATTACGTCATAGCGCGGCGCCGAGGTCTGGTTGGATTCCAAGACTCCTCGTTATGCGGCCTTAAAATGCGTCCTTCCTTTAGCCCGATTTGAAGGACGGGTCCGATGTATCCTCAGGTATCCCAGCATTCATTGCGAGACCAAGCAAGCCGTGATCAGAGGAAAGGTTACTTGGCGCCGAACAGTGGTGAAAATTGGAAGTTCAGTTTAATATAATCCAGTCAGTGAATAGTTCCGTCTGAGATTAATGAAAATAGTTGTTTTAATGGTTATAGAGTCAGATATGTGGCGGTAATGTTTGGTTTATCTAAAGGTTTTAATCTGTTACTGTGTAAATGGGTTTGGCTGTAATTTAAGGACAGATTATAATATATCTGCAGTGTCGGGACTATAAATCTGATAGGACTTTTATCTTTTTATTGCTGTTTTGCACAATATGCTTAACTACGTATTTTTTTGTTGTTGAATATTAGAGATTTTGCAGATATATATTTTATAAATACATTGTTTAGATTAACTTATATCTTTCTACCCCTTTTATAGAATAGAATAGAAAATCCCTTTATTGTCCCACAATG